CTGGCATCTGGAAGTTGCCTGAATCATTTGTGTGGAAAGAAAAGAGACAAAGATCCTCCCAAATGAAATAAAAATTCACTCAACAGAGATTAAGATTTAATGGGAGGGAGGATGGAATCAAATGAGAATCAGAAATGTGCAGTTTTGATAAGTTTATATTTAAAAATACGGTTTTATTGCTTTGTAAGCACGCTAATGTGATTACTCTACGTCTGTAAAAACATGACGTAAATACCTTTGTTTTCATATGGCTTTGACAGAAATTCCGAAAATATAACTCAAGAATGGTACCTTCCTTGCCAAATGGCGTAATCAGGATGAAGACGCGGAGGGAAAAGCAGCGACTTTCCAGAATCGATATCTATCATACCGAAGCATTCACTTTCATGTACTCCAAACGCCCAGAAAAAATACGATTCCTGAATTTAAACAAAATAATACAGTCTAAGTGACGTGCAAAACTATTCGATGGATATTCGTCATTTCTTTAGAAGCAGCTCAAGGAGTTATTTTTAGTATTCTGTTTTTTATTAAATTGAGTAAACTGTTAACCTGTCGAAATGGAAGATCCATTGAATCTGTGTTGTATCTATTTTGTTCCTCGCCACCTTTCAGCAAAACAACACTACCAGCTTTGACCTTATTTTTCAGTGCGGCAACCAGACGAGCTCGATTCTCCGAAAATAGCTTTGCTGGAACAGCCAGAGTTTGTGCTCCCATCGAAAAAGCCATTTTCTGGAAATGTCTGAAAAACAGTTTTAGAAAAAGAGCAAAAAATTGTGACTAAATGTTGAGAATCGAGAAAGATGAAAACAACGAGATTAGTACGCAAAAAATAAAGAGTTCCGGAAATTCGAAAAATTTGGCATTGCATCAGCGAAGAGAAGAAACTGGCAATTACAATTCATAATCGTTTTTAGAGATGATCGGATTACCTGCAGAATAAAAAAAAATGTGAGAGAGTAATTACAAAAAGTAAATTTTAGCTTCGAGAAAGATCGATAGGTTAGTGCACCCAAAAAATGTCAAAATTTAATGAATCGTAAATGCCTGAGACCAAAAATGACCAATTTAATACTGCAACCGTTAATTTCATATGCAGATACGTAATTCAAATCAATCAGAGCAAAAAGCGTTGCTTTGAAGTACCGGAAGAAACCTCACTTCTGTTGGAACGTGGGAAGAACGAAC